ATGGCCAGGTCATCCAACCAACAAACCAACAGCAAACAAACTAAACCCTTATTATGGCCAGGTCATCCAACCAACAAACCAACAGCAAACAAACTAAATATATAAATTTGAATAAAACAGGCTACAACCAACCAACTGAATTCCTATCAAGTCAAATAGAAATTAAACAAAGTTAAGAGAAAAGTACACACCTAATAAACCTCTCAGTGTCATCACCTCAACAACCAAAAATTAGATTGACCACCCTACTATGCATCCAGCCTACCACACCACACCCTGCATCCATTCAAACCACAGCCTACCACACCACACCCTGCATCCATTCAAACCACACCCTACCAAACCACGGCCTATAGCCAACTACATTTTTAGCTAACATTCCATTGTTGGTTTAGAACCACTCTTGCGGTCATGCATCTCACAAATATCCAGGCTAGAACGGTACTCAGTACAGACGAGGGAGAAAGGTAAATAACTTGACTTATCGGTCGGTCGATTGATAGATTGATCTTGCATTTGACTGTTTGAATGGTTATCAGTAAAAAGTTATTATTAGAAAGTAATACTTATTATTAATATGATTAAGTTTGGTTACTCGTCCATTCTTTATTGAAAGGTTGTTGTCAAGTAARTCAAAAGAGCTGAACAGTCGCTACGGTGAATGGAAAATTAACGTATATTCCCCAACGAGCACGTCTCCCGTAGTGAGGTCTTCATATTTTAGTGCTTACATTGGTGCTATGATAGCCTTTGCTGTTCTTATTGGGATCGTTGGGCTGTGCGCTATACTAGTTGTCTGTAGGTATAAATATAGGTAAGYTCTCATCATGCAATACCAGGWCTARTGGATCASCACAAACTTCGCATGGTATATTAGCTGAATTTTGTATAAGGATATATAACCAGATAATAAAAATGTCACACCCACCAATACAAGTATTTTTTACCAAAAATCAAGAATCCATTCAGAAGCTAGAGAGAATGATTTCAATTTAAGCACCATTTCAAATRCACTGATTTCTGTTATGTCTGATTTGACTCGCTATTCAAATAACGATTCGGGTACTGTGTGTATGAAGAAGGCTTAGAATCCTTCAAGAAAAAATATCCGATTATTAACTAAACGTAACGAAATTGTTTTTATTCGCTTATTGCCAGAGAAAAGTACATTCAAGTATATGAACCCGACGAAAAAGACGTCAGKGATGGAACTGAGATACCAGATTGGACGTAAGTAAACAATCAAAACAACAACAACTACAGCGATAACTACAATAACAACAATAACTACAATAAAMATGAAAACCAAAACAACACCAATAACAACAACGATACCCACAATAACAAAAACAACTACGATAACAAAAACAACAACAGCAACAACGATAACTACGTCAATAACAATATCAACTATAACAACAACTGCAATAATAACAACTACGATAACAGCAAAACTACAACTAACAACAACTACAATCAGAACAATAGCCACCTTAACAACAACAATAAAAACAAACAACAACATAATCAGGTCAACAAATCCATTATTTATAGCGATAATAAACTTAACACAAAACAAATCTGCATATGAACCTCATCAATCTAAAACTTTAAGTTAACAAGTTATCAGTGATAATAGCATAAATACATTACAAGAGAGGTACATGGAACAAGAACTCCGGTACAAATACAGCCCATTCTTTTCAGGCTTCATTTATTGATTATAAATTAGTTTGTTGTTGCTAAATCCCTCTTCTTATTTCAGAGCAATTGATTATCCTCAAATTGGAGCGTACATCGAATCTCGTGCCGACAACCCGTAAATATAAATCTATAAACAGCTATTAAAAATATAAAAATGATATGATAATAACTAATCTATTAATTGCTTTATGGACTTTGWTACTATCGAAGCACCTCGTTGCTATGGACATCCATCGAAAGTACGGATCATAAACTTTAATCATTGAATAGTAATATAAAAAGATCATCCATTAAGTGTTTACCTTTCGCATGAAAATTTTGATATAAGGGTAGCTTTTAACCTTTAATGGTTATCCGTCAGTTGAAAAGACTTATTGTCAACACTGGGAAAAATCATTTACATCAAATTTACAGAATTTTGGACACATCATATTTACATCAAATTTACAACCTTTAAAGCGCGCAATTTTTTCCAGTGCAACAATAATATAGTCCCTATGATATAAGTAGCTTATTAAAAAAATCTTCATAAACAATGCTTTTAGGAGAAACCCAACGAAAATAGTTTAAAAAGTAAAAAAATGTTGAATCCATGAATTGAAGACATCTTGAAACAAATAATGATTAAACTTAAGAGTAGCCAACATGCATATCCGTCGCATCTATAAATAGGGGACGTTTCTCTATGGCGCCCATTAAGCATCGACTAACAAAATKACTAGGATKCTCAGTGTAAGGCATTGTTCCGTTAGGACTGTCAACATGTACCCTTCATCTGTACCTCAAATTCCCGAAAGGTATTGAAATAACCTACTATACTTTAATTTTAAAGCTTTATCGTTTTCTTTTTTCAAGGCGCTTGAAAACCAGTCGTAAAAGTCAAAGCTACAAACCAACKATATTGGTAAGACTATTTATTTAAACTTGTACAAAGAGTTCAGATGTATGTACCGTCATCCACATAAAAAAATCAAAGGTATATATTAATTAGTAAAAGTACAAAATATTGAGCATGTTTTCAATTAAGGTGAAAGAAGACTAAATGAGAAAGTTGTGTTACCCTTTCAACTACCTGAAAACACTCCTCACTCTAAAGCTACTGATTGGGAATACGCTAAGTTCACAGGAGGATTTTATAAAATGCGGAATTGCATTTTCCCTTTGTTTTGCGAAGAAAATAAACCTAATCGCACGTTTTAATAATAAGCTTGTTTGGGTATAAACTTTAGGCTTGACCCATGCTATGCCATAGCTTAAGTATGTAGAGATGTTTAAAAGTATATGGTTTTCAGTGTCATTCTATTATATATGTGTTTATATTTTTATACAGCTGTTTGCAATAATTCTGACCCCCCTACACTAATATTCATATATATCAAAATAGCCTTAGAAATTATGGGATACCATTGCTGATATTTTTTTTAGAAAGTACTCATCCTGGACAACTCAAAAAATATATCAGTCATGATATCCCATAATATTAAAGGTCAGTTTGATATATATGAAATATGGCAGAGGGGGTCAGAATTATTGCAAACAGCTGTATGAATATCATCAATAAATCTAATTATATAACTGTCTGAAATATAAAGGATTGATCTTTTTTTCCAAAAGGTAACTGAAGAGGAAGCAGAGAGTGTAAACGAATCAAACGATGGTCCACTGTTGTCAGACAAACACACAGTAACATCAGTTTTGAGTTCTCGCTACGGCGATGATAACATCTCAAATGAGCAACAATCTACCACAAGCCCACAAGAAAGAAACGGAAGAGACAATCCCGCCCTGCAAATCGAAACAAATCAAGATGAAGCTTCAAAGCAACAATCAATTTTGGWAAAYCCTTTCTCTARGGGGAAATTTTCACCTKGGAATAAAATAAGTAACTCTCAAGAGAAAGAGGAGTCCATCTTACCAAAGACTATGTTTTCACCTAAGAGCTACTCTCCAAGAGACCACGAAAACAAGGTTTTAGACGAAAACCCYGGCGAATCGATGTCTTATAATGTTTCCGACGGGGAAAGAGGTAATTAYTTTAGGGGTGATTAGGSTTGGTAGCCACGCCCTCTTTTTATTGTTAAAAAATAGAAATAGAAATTATGATCAGCTCATTCTGAAATGAAAGGAAACTGAATACATTTGAACGTAACTCATTCTGAAAAAACAATTATCTAGCGGTCACCTGAATCAAAGTTCTAAATCAATCCTTGTATATATATATTTTTATCCCAAATTGTTATGTCTTGAATACTGACCGTGATCCATGGGGGAAAGTGGTCCTCGTCGGAGATTCTGAAAATGACCCCCTAAAAGGGACCTGCATTGTGAGATGTCGCGGTGATGAAATTTTCACTCCTAAGAAGGACAATCAATATAACTTGTCAATCAATATAACCTGTCAATCAATATAACCTGTCATTTTGGTTCTCGATTTCATTTGTACTTTGACATCAGCATCCAACATCGTTTACTTGCAGTGGGAGTTCATGATCTTGGTTTCTAAGGAAATAATGTTTTTTCTTTGTACAGGTATAAAAAACCCTTCAGGTAAGCGTACAAGAGTACGGTTCGACTTAGAAACAAGTACAGGCGACGAACTGGAGTGGGAACGACAGGTATCGAATACAATGCCTGACTTGGTGCACTCAACCAACGCCAGCAACTATGATATGATGTATGGACGAAAGAATGAGAGCAGGACCGAATTTTCACCAGTTTCCAGTGTGAGTGACGGAGA